AATGAACAAAATTTAAAGAGTATTTTTTTATGTCTAATGGAGCTGAACATTATTTTTGTTTTGATGTATTTAAACTGATCAAATTTTATTTCAGAAAAACAATAAAATTAAATTTTGTTTGATTAAAACCCTGCTAACATGGAAGTACACAAGAATCATTTGAGGCACATAATGCTTTATGAGTTCAAGAAAGGAAACTCAGCAGCCGAACCGGCTAGAAACATTCACTCAGTTTATCGAGAGGAATGTGTGAATGAAAGAACATGCCGAAGATGGTTTGCAAATTTCAGAGGTGGAGATTTCACACTTGAAGATGAAGATCGAAACGGACGTCCAGTTGAGCCTGATGAAAAGCTTCTTGAAGCAGCCCTTGAAGAAAATCCTGCTTCATCAGTTGTGGAAATGGCAGTGGTTCTCAGTTCAAACCATAGAACTGTTCATTATCATCTTCAACAATTTGGAAAAGTTGCTAAACTAGGAAAATGGGTGCCTCATCAATTGTCAGAAAACAACTTCAAATCCCGAGTTGACATCTTCTCTTCTCTCCATTCTCGCCAACTTTTTTCACCTTTTTTTAACAGACTTTTGACTGGCGACGAAAAATGGATCTTTTATCGAAATGTTAAGCGTCGTACATAGTGGCTTGGTAAAGGGAAAGGACCCCAGCCACAGCCGAGAAGGGAGCTTCATGGGCAAAAGGTTTTTCTTTCAATCTGTTGGGATCGCCAAGGAATAATCCCCTTTGAATTCTTACACCTAATGCAACAATTAATGCTCAAATATACTGTCAGCAATTAGAGCGTTTGATTAAAGCTTTGAAGAAAAAAATACATGCTCTACTGTATCGAAAAGAGGTGATGTTTTATCAGGACAATGCGCGACCCCACACAGCAAGAATCACGTCACGGAAGATCGAAGAACATGGTTGGGAGAAAATTCCTCGTCCTCCTTATTCTCCCGATCTTGCTCCTTCAGACTACGGTAGGTTTCGTAGCATACAGAATCATTTGGAAGAAACAGCTTTTGCAAGACAGGAAGAGATTAAAACTGACATATGTGAGTTCTTCGAATCAAAGCCAAAAGAATTTTACAGCAATGGGATTAGTAAGCTTGTTAATAGATTGAAGGAAGTCATAGATAATCAGGGAAAATACATTGTTGATTGAATCTATAATTAAATGTAACATTTGGTCACTTGTTTTCTTTTATTCAAAATTCGGACAGAACTTATGGGATGACCTATATATATATATATATATATATATATATATATATATATATATATATATATATATATATATATAACCTCCACTTTGTCTAAACACCTCCACTTACGAAAAACACGCGATACGAACAAAAATCTGTCAGCAATTTTCGATTACACCTGTGAATTAATTTCGACTTTCGAAATAAGGAATGGGATTCCCGCTACAGTATTTCAAACATGATATTTGATATAGATGTACCCCAAATAATTTGTAATCTTATCTGAATATACTGTCTTTTATGGTTTTATGTTTTATATATTATATTATTTATATATTATATAAAATAATATAATACTGTAATATTATATAGTGTTACAATAATTTTTATACTGTATTTTTATACTGTACTCTACCAAATATTTGCAGATATATTTTATACTGCATCATTCTGACATTTTTATGTTTATATACAGTATACATTATTATATTAAAATATATTTTATAGACACTATTGTATTATATTATTATGGATACATATTTCTGTCCAGTTCCATCTCACTAGATATAGTGTAGTGCTATGTGCATTGCATTATCCCACTCGGTCCACTTTGTTACCTCATAGAATAAGCATTTTAGTGTATGCATATTTGTGAATATATTATTTTACGTGTAACAAAATTAATAATGTGCAATACTGCATGTACAGTAATGAATATATTACATGTACATTACTGTACGGTACAATAATATGTAAATTCTACTAAAATTTATTGAATTACAATTTTTAAAAAAAGTAAAATCGTACATAATGTAAAGTGATTTTAGTCTTGTATACAGTGTATAATCATTGAATTTTAAATTGATATCGAAACATTACAGTATTAAAATGTAACCAATTTGTAAATTTTAAAATTGAGTAAAATAAAATGTATGAAGTGAAGGTACAGCATATAAAATACCAACTAAAATAAACGACGCATCCAGTTCAGGTTGTTTTGTACAGTACATTTCATTCCTACAGTTTGTTCGATTATATTTTTCCATACAGTTACTGTACTGTACAGTTTAATGTTCTACTGTAAACTTTACTTTACATCTAGAATAATTAAAAAATTTCAGTGGGTAATTTTTTTAATTTTTAATTTTTTTTTTTTGTCCACGATGTCACCTAAGAAAGTGGTTGCTACTAAGAAGAGGGAAAATATCCTTGCAAATGAAGAAGATCATTCAGAAACAAGAAAAAGTTACCCGTGTTTCTGACCTTGACAATCACTACGGACGTTCAGCATCAACAATTTCCACTATCCTAAAGAACAAGATAGAAATAAAAAAAAGCTTTTTGTAGCCAAGGGAGTTAACTTAATTACCAAGCATCGACGAAAATCCCTAGAAGATGTTGAAAAGCTGTTGTTGGTGTGGATGAATGAGAGGCAGCCGCGAAGAGATTTTGTTTGAAGATATTAGACGTGCAAAAGCAAGAGCACTGTGCGTAGATCTTATCAGAAAAATACCAGGAACGTCTTCTGAAGATGAAAATGTATTTAAGGCAATCTTGCTTAAAACTCATTGATAAATCTTAGGAAGGAGTTCGAGTGATATATTTATTTACATTATATTTAATGGAGCGGATTAAATTCTTAGGTTGAGGTTCCATATATATATATATATATATATATATATATATATATATATATATATATATATATATATAAAAAAAAAAAATATTGAAAAATTAAAATCTTCAGACACACTGGGTTGTAGACTAATATTCTTTTGTTTTTTTATTATTATTTCATTTAGATTCCTCGACTAGTTTCGGCCAAAATGGCCATCATCGGGAGGAGAAATATTTCTGCTTGCTGGTAGCAGTAAACTACAGAAATTAATGTCTTGCTGGAGAAAATGAACTTTTGTCTGTAGTTTTCATTTGTTTTTTTTTTTATTTTTTCATTTTTTTATCTTTTTAACATGAATCTTTTAACATTCCTTGTGTTGGTCAAACAGTCTGTTTTAAGTTGTTATTTGAGATAAGAGCTGGATAGATCTATGCTTCTCTGAATTCCCGTGGTCAGTTTGACAGTTTTATTAGTCCGGGAGAGGGGATGTGTCTCTGTTTAGTGTTTGTGTGTGTGTTATTTGGTTCTTAGGGAGGGAGTGAGTATGATATGTGTAAGCGTGTGTATTGCTGTAGGTGTGTGTTATCATTTGACTCATTAGGGAGTGAGTGAGTATGATGTGTGTAAGTGTGTATATTCGTGTGGTTGTGTGTATAATTTTGAGGCCTCCACACCTCTGTAAGCATGTCTGTCTTGCGTGGGTGAGAAATGTGGGTAGTTTCTGATTTGTTGAGTTATATATTAGTACTATCTATATTGTTAAATTTATGGTTTAGCCCGGCTGGATATTGGGTTGTTAGACGTTGTATCCACTTATTTTCATGGGACTCTAAAATCTTTCTAATGTTATCTGCTCTAAACTATTCTATTCGTTCAATTATAGTGAATTTGGCATGTGTTTTGAAATCGTGTTTTTCCATGCGGAAATGTTGTTCTACAGGTAATAATTTTTCATGGGGAGTCGACTTAATTCGATTGCGATAATTATTAATTCTGTAGTGAAATGGCCATTCAGATTTCCCTACATATTGTTTCTGGCATAGTGTGCATTCTAGGAGGTAAATTATGTTAAGACTTCTGCAGTTAGAATCGTGGTAGATTTTGAAAGTAGATTTAGTGATTGAGCTAGTGAATGAATTCATGCGTTTAATATGGTTGCAACATAAACTTCATTTGTTGTTACACGTTTGGGAATATCCCGTTGTTTTTCTTAGTTTTCACGCGAACACATACATACATACATACATATATATATATATATATATATATATATATATATATATATATATATATACACACACACACATATATATATATATATATATATATATATATATATATATATATATATATATATATATATATATATATATATAAAATTGTTCAAGCACAAATGTTGGTAGCTAATGCAAATAATCAAGAGAAAAAAATATTAAGTTAAAAACGAAATCATACATTCCAAAAAGAGTCGACAATTCGCAGACAGGCAAGATTTTTTTATCCTTGACTTTTGACCGATGTATGAATTCTGGGATCGCCAATAATCGCAAGAGTTTTATGAGGGTGGAGATGAAGAAAAGGCAGAAACGTGGTTTTGTTGATGAAATTATCACGGACAGGGCATCTGAACAACGACAAAGTTTTATGGAATATAGAAAGACAAATGTACGTTTATAATTAGAAGAAAGAAAAAGGTAAGAGTTGACATTTCTAGGGTGCATAATGTGGAAGACTTTCTTAGAGAACTGACCATTCCCTGATCATATTGAAAGTAGGATTGATTAATTGATTGATCCATTGGTTGATTTGATGCTATTGAAATTACGAAGTTTGCTGAAACATTCTATCTGCTTTCTCTAAAGCTGAATTTCAGCAAAGGTTTTTCAATTGTGATATATTTACGAATTAATTTTAAATCGCACTTTAGTTTTTTCTTCAGTACCAGAGTGTGACGTGTGATGAAAGCAGATAGCGTAAACACGCATATACGCATATATTAGGGTTAATTTCCGCTTAGCAACAGAAGAAAGGTCACGTGGGAATCTTATGACATTTTGGGAAGGCAGGTCAAAAGGTTGACTGAGCCAATTACCCGTAGCGACAAATGTCTAGACAGATGCTAGACAGGGGACGGATGTAAGCTACACTTCGCGCCAAAACTTAAGACACGTGACAGTCAGAGATTCACTCGAGAATCAGTTGTTATCTTAAGTTTGAAAAGGCAAGACCTGAAGCCGAAGCGCTGATAGTTTTTGAATGGAAAGATAAGACGCATTTGATAGTGATGGAACTTATCCAGTTCAACCCAGAAATATAAGAAATATTCCTGTTCGAGAATCCCAAGTTGAAGACGCAGAGAAAGTAATATGCTGAGGATTGAGCCTGCGTTTAAAGAAAAAAGGAAATCAGAGAAGAAAGCATATATCTCTATTACAAGTTGAATTGTGTAAAGAAAGAAAAAGGAAAACCAGAGAAGAAAGTGTATACCTCTGTTATATGCTGAATTGTGTAAAGAAGAAGAAGGAAAGAAAAAAGAAAACCAAAGAGAGAGAGAGAGAAAGTGTACACTCTTGTTGCAGTGAGCCGGATTTGGAAACCGAGCTGTCTACAGAAGAAAAGAAGTAAAAGAAAAGGCGAAACAAAGGGAGGAGAAAGTGTATACCTCTGTTACAGCCGGACAGTGTGTGAAATTGTTTTTGTGTCCGAGAAAAGAAAGAAAGGACATTGATATAAAAAAATAGAATATGAATATAAAAGATAAGTAATCATATTTTGGACCCAAAGTAGAAAGATATACATACATCCATGAATATTATGTTTTTACAAACACACTTTCCACATGTAAAACAATAATTGTAACTCCTATCCCATCTCTTTTTGTGTATGCGTTGGCTTCTGCATTCAATTCATAGTAATTCATACTTATATTTTTGTATGTTCGGGTTCAGTTGAATCCATTTTGGTGTTAGGCAATTTGATATCCCAACGTAAGTTTTGAGATCTGTCGTCGGATGTTTTAACTCATACTTATCTGTTCTTTTTTTTTTGATATCTGTATATTTGTATATATTAAAATTCTTGTATCAAAATCGCTAAGCCTTATAGTTCCTCCTTGTATTGTGGATCAGTATTTGTGTTGAAAACGGCGGACCTGGGAAAGATTACTGTTCGATTATCCCAATCGAACAGTGGTCTTAAAAATATTTTTGTTTACCAATTGTCCATTGTTACGATCTGGGAAAGATAGCTTGTATCTCTCCACGGGTGTGAGAATGTATATATCTCCTAGTCAGCGTATGATCGCCCTATAAACCCATTCGTCGACTGGGACATATGACAAGAGATTCAATGAGATTCAAACATATCGCATATCTGATTAACCGTACATTATTTATACATGTTCGGAGTTGCTAAGTCTTGATAATTATCAATTTTAAATGCACAAATATAGATTTCAAGCGGTATAAAATATGTTTTCACTATTTAAATTATTCGGTCTATTGCCCTCATCTTTGTCGCCATGTTTATCACAACGTTTCGGGCGTTGTACGCTCCGGTATTCTTCAGGTGGTTGAAATGTCGAACTGAACCCTTTATGTCGCTCACTGGGGTAGACTGTTCTATTTCCACATGCCATGTCTAATATATGACAGTTATCTCCTGTTCATTCCCCTCTCAGACTTATCCACCGCCTTAAACAGGTATTGAACTCACATTCTTTGGGCCCTGTTATTGGAACTAAATAACGCCTTTATCCACTGTGTCATGTTTCATTGAGGACATCTCTGTATGAAATTTTGGGTATTATAAAACTAATGTTTTCAGCAACCATTTTTACCAGTGCTCATATTGCAATTTTTGCTTTATATCATTGCATAATATTTGCCTGAGCCCATATTGTAATTTTTTTTGTTGTTATCTCTTTTCTTTGGCACTACTTATAACTGGTTCCTATAGTGTATTCATTTCTATGCTTGGTCGGCTCAGGAGATTTTTGTGGCATAGCATATGTGCTGATACCTTAAGTTTACCACCTGAAGAATTTCGGAGCATAAGTTGTAATAAACGTTGCGACAAAATTGTGTCCGAATAATATAAATAGTTTACATAATACCCCATCTCAGCAACATAGAGATACTGAATATTTGTTTTCATAATCAGTACTGTAAATCCGGATTACTCTAACAAGGAAGATAATACAAAAGCCGAAGAATATGGGATTAGGTGACTTTTGCCTGATAAGATTTTCAAATATGCGCATTCAACATTCTGCATTAAGCTTGAGAAATAAGTCGAAGTTATTTCTGGTCAGTAAATTCGTATGCATGTTCTTTAAAATTATGGCTATATGTTTTGCAGTTTCATTGAGATTACAACTTGCTATAAAACTCTGAGATTTCTCTGCCTCTTCATGAAATTACTTTCCTACTTAAAAAACAACATTTGCATTTCCTTTGCTTCTGCATGCGTTTAATAATTTTCAATTTTCTTGAGAATGTGAAAACTTGAAGAACGAACACAGTATAATATTATATGCTTGCGAAGTTAGATTAAGAAATAAGGCTCTACGTCTTCTATCCTATTGGACTGTGTTATATATTATTACCATTTTGTGGAAACAACTGTGCTGAAGAATCTATCATCATAAAAGGTCATTACGTGACAATTATTAAGAGTCACTTTAGATGTTGCCCGTCTCTGGCAGCGTACACAATGGATTAATGAAAAAAAATGACAATTCCCTAACGAGAATGCAAATAAACATTCATCAGGAATGACACAGAAAACAAATTGAACTTGGTTGGTCTGTGCTACTTCATCCGTATTTTTTTTTGTCTAAGCTTAGAAATGACATTACACCAACTAATACGATCGCTGCAAATCATTTGACAGTAAAAAAAATTATCTCGTGAAAACCAGATTCAAGAATTTTGAAAAACGTTTTAACATTAAAAACTGTGGAATATTGTTCTGTTTGTAACAATGTAGCACTGTCTTTCACTATAGCTGAGTACTATGAGTTCTTTTGATTCCTAGGCTTTAAGAGAATCGTGATACGGGAGTGTGTATTTCGTATTCTTTTTATATTTGGATGAGTGTGTATTTCAGCGAATGATTGGTCGAATGTTTCTTATTAATTCCCTAGTCCAGCATAAATTCCGTCCAGTTAAACTATTTTTCTGGAATATTTAAGTATTGTGGTGATTTTATTACTAACACACGTTTACTTTATTGTATATAAATTGTATTCATTATAAATATTTATTTTTAATGTTGCTATTTTATTCACCCACAACAGACAAATTTAACATATAGAAAGTACTTAGGACTACATATAGAATTTGAGATATCATGGTGGCGGTAGTAAGAATGGTAAGTAAGAATGTATTGTTTTGGGGTAAGGAATACTGTGCTATGATTTGGTCAGTAATCGTAGCTAGCTGAAGCAGACTGAAGACCAACCTTCCCCTATACTAGCTTCTGGCCTTGTTCCACATTTTTGTATTAAAACAAAATAAATATTGCTTTCTTTCTTGGTACATCAACCGCATGAACTAAATAAAAATACTAAATTGGCAGCAAGGTCTTACTATCTTACTGTTGAAATAGTTAGCTGTAACCGTATACTCTATTCTGATAGTGTTTTCTCTCGCGCTTTACGCCTGTGGATCTCTCTCTCTCTCTCTTTCTCTCTCTCTCTCTCTCTCTCAGGTTTTAATTCCCTGGTACCCACGATATTGCAAAATTTAAATTCGACGCCAATCCTCAGCTTCTGTCTTGTTAAAAACAAGCTTTCAACTTTTTTTCCTTTTCCTGGGCCATGTTCTATTGTTGAAATTTCTCATCACTAATGTCTATTCGTTCATTCCGTAGAAACCCTGGAATCTTAGCAGCATTATTACTTCGCTTGGGGAAAGAATTAAAAAGTTTAAATGGGGGTATACAAAGATATGAAAAAAGAATACATGTGAAAAATATGATTCATCAGATTATTATATTTGCAATCAGAAAAAATTGGTCGAAATGTCTGGGATACACACTAGGTAAATCTTTTCTCAAAATTCTTGAATGTGGAGCTCTCTTCCGTTTTCTTGATTCCTGCTATCCTGAAAAAAACTGAATCCAACATTAATCACAATATTCTGTCGTCTCAGTGTCTGTACTTTTGTTGCCCTTACTCCTTAATAATGTTTTCTCATTTTTTTTTTCACTCTAAGTAACCGGTGTGTCTTAGTGACACTATTCTCTTTATTGGGGTTAAACGATTACAAAGTGTTCATCTAAATTTCTACATATTTTACCAGTTATCGATTATCGTCTGTTTTGTTTAATTCTTCTTTAGTAAGAATATGGTTAATATTTTGCATTATATTAATTAAGTTTATTATTGTTTTGAAGTAGCTGTAACTACATCTATATTAAGATTAGATTATTTTCAAAAGTGATCGTTCTCAAATTGTCTATGCTCTTTGCAATCCGATATATAGTCACATGGGAAAGTGAGAAAAGACGCATACTTTACTGTAGAATGTCATATTAACTGCACAGTTACAAGAATGGAACAGTGGATAAAGCCGGTCGTTAGATCCAGTGAGAAGGCCCAAAGAGTGTGAGGTGAATACCTGGTTAAGGCGGTGGAGAACATGGAGAGGGGATTTTATCATTGATAACTGTTAACTGACATCCATTATTCATGGCGTTAAAAGTGACAGTCTACCGCCGTGATGAAATAAAGTGTTCAGTTCGATCTAAACCACCATGAGGAAGGCCGGGCACCAAAACAGTCGAAACGTTGCGATAAATATGGCAACAATGATGAGGACAATAGTCCGAATAATGTAAATAGTTTGAATAAATATAGATTTATTTAAATGCTTGTTTTTTTTTTTCAATTCAGGCATATCTTTTTGAGATTATTTACAACTCTAATTAAAGAATCATATAATCATTGATTTCTTTTGAATATATCTATCCATTTTATAATAATAGTATTTATTGATAATAATTACGTGTACTTAATTTCAGATTGATATTCATATTCAATATGCTAATAATAGTTCGATTATTTGAATTCGTTCTACAGGAAAATATATTTGTAATATTGATTCATGGTAGTGTTACATTTAGGTACATATATCCTACATCAAATGCAACAAATGCTAGAGAATGGTATTAAAATAATAATGTTTGCCACGCCATTTGTTTTTGCACGACCGTTACGTCCTGGCATTAATTCATAAATAATGGACTATTTCGTTTTGATTGCGTGGTAAAAGGTACATCTGAGACGCTATTTGCATTCATTGAAAAAATAAAAAAGAGTGAGAAACATAGAATTGTTTAACGTTTACTGCTAATAACTCATAAATAATGGAATATTCAGTTTTGATCACCTGAAGAGACAAAATATAAAATATGCTATTTGATTGCAGTCAGAAAATTTACGGAAGGGAAAATAGTTTATAAAGCCAGTTTCAGTGAAATGTAAAAACAGTTATCGATTCCAAATATCTTCATTTTACGACATAATGTCTTAAAATAATGACCAGCCTTTGTAATTTTTATTGTCATTACATTATATTGTTCAAGTTGCTAAGCTCAAATATTTAATGATGCGATAGAACAATTTCTACGGATAATCGCAAGTGGCATTACGATTAGCCAATCATTAACTGAAGTATTGAGATTCATCAGCTATTTCAAATGGGAAATACCTGAAATACT